GCGCGTGCCTGCACACGCTCGACATGGGCCGAACACTTCATAATATATCCTTTAACATCACTGGCTCCTACCTTTATAGTAACATTGGTACCATTGCCCTGAGTTCGTTAGAAACCCCAAATACTACATCCACGGTCGCAACACCTCAGTCACCTCGATATAAGTATACGGCACTCAGTTCGGATAACATATGGATAACATTTAACTCGAAGAACTTACTGTGGCTTCCGCAAGAGTATCGTCCTTCTTCCTCCGCTGTGTTAGGTAATACGCTTGGTATTGGTGTAGGATCTGGAAAGGTATGGCTATGTACTGTCGATTTTCACAAACCCTAAAAGCTTTGAGTTTTGAGCAGAGTGGGAATATATATTGCATTTTACATTTTGCATCTTCGTTATATACTGTTTTAAGGGGGGCAGGAGATAGACGGAAATAAATTATTTACATCTCAAAGATCATTGATCAAAGGGTTTTTTATGTATAGTGAACGCCTTGTTCATAATCCACTTTGCCCAAAAACCACGTTCGCATCGTGGATTCCGCGACTAATCTGTGGAGCGCCTTGTGTTGTAGCATAACAGGCTTCCCTTTTCCTAACGCCAACCTTAAGCCTTCTTTGCTTCAAGTTTTGGTAGATTAGCCTTATCCTAGCACTACCACAGACGTTAGGAAGTCGATCATCAGCCCTATGCGCGCTGCAGGGCGCGATCTCATGTAGCGCCGCCCCATCGATCGGTACTTCCGGCGGAAGCGAACTACTGGTTCGGGCTAATGTGCGATGATACGTAAGTATTTTTACTGTAGGATGTGTGGCTGTGCAGATTGCGTCAGTTTTCGTATCGTTTAATCTGGGATTGGCGGTGCATGTGTAATTTACATTACTTAGACAGCATACGCTAAGCCTTGTAGGTCGAGTGTTAAGTCGCCTGCCAAGAGCTGTTTAGGGCCTCTCTAGTTGGATAAATCTGGACTACATTCCTGGATTATTAAATATCTTTAGATTGTGTGACGATAGGTAACTTACTACACAAGGTAAGAGGGGTCTATCGCAGAGGTTTGTATAGGGTAAAGCGAGTATCAAGACAGGGTAATATGTAACGATAGGTAACTTACTACACAAGGTAAGAGGGGTATATCGCAGAGGTTTGTATAGGGTAAAGCGAGTATCAAGACAGGGTAATAACTCT